AAAGTTTTGTCTATTTTATCAGACTTTTCAAATAATATATTTCTAAACATACTTAACTGTATTTGTGTTCTAGTATATAATTCTCTTATTCTCATATTTTCTTCTTTGTACTTTCCTGGAATTTGTTCTGTTGCTATTTTTTCCCTATGTTTTGGGGTTAAATTCTTACTTAATTTTTTTTTATTTAATGAAAAATGCTTTAAGCCCTTTTCTCTCAGTTCAGCTTTGTTTCTGTTTTTGTTGTTGTTTTGTTTTCAGAATCTCATGTTTTAAGGTATAATATTGTCATCCTTGTTACATCTTATATACCTACATTAGTAATTATAATCACTTTTATTTCTTGTTTCACCACAAAATTATATAGAAAATTAATTTTTAGTTTTTAAGTGTCTTTGAATTTTCCTACTTAACCTTTAGTTACAAATGCCAATTTTATGGCACTATGATCAGAAAATATGGTCATTACGATTTTGACGACTTGAGATTTTTTGGTGTGTGTGTGGCTTGGGATCGTATTACTTTCTGAAAATAAACCCCTTGATTTTCAACCAAAATAAACCCCTTGATTTTGCTTGTGGATTAGTAAAATGTGAGACTCTTTATAGGCTGGGTGTTCACTAATGCGTTGGGTAGTTAATATAATTTTATAGAAGAGAATTATAAAACTTGAAAGAGGTAATAGGAAATGAGCACAAGAAATGTTGATGGAATTGCCAGGATAAACAGGAAGGGAAAGAAGTCCTGGATAGCCCTGGTCTTCACTGGTAATGTTGCCTTACTGTTTTAGTTTAGTTAAAAAGGAGGTGAGAGCATGTTCGTTTTTCACCGAGTGGGCCTGTATTCAGTGAACAAAGACTCAGGGTGTGTGGATCAAGACACCCTGAATGTTGTCGCATTCCCTATCCCCTCTCATCCCTAGTCCGTGGGGATATAATTTTTATCACTTGGGGAGAAATAGCAATTTTGCCAGCAGGTACCAATAGGTATAGCCGTCATGGTGTGGACCTGTGTGTGGGCTGTATTGCCTAACTTGCCCTGGGGAGAAAGCTGTGGGTTTCCCACCTGGGCAGCTAACTAGGAAGTCGTGGTTCATAGTGAGAATATCCCACCACTAATGATGTAGGATGCCTGGATACAAGTAACTGCCAACCCTTGTGAATGATGTTACCAACAATATCTGTGCCTACATTCACACTGCTGCATTATGTTCAAGTTTCATTCTCGGTATATATGAATATGATCCTACGTCATTTTGTTTTTATTCACATCTTTGTCAATGAAAGACTGGATGTGAATTCTGATTAGAAAATCAAAAATAATTTCAGTTCTTTTAATTATCAAAATGCAATTATTTTCTTCCTTTTACCTCTGAGATTAAAAAAAATATGATTTCATCCAGTTTTGTTAGTTCTTAAAAATTAAAGAATCGAAGAAAAGAAGGGAATTAGTTATGGTCTGTTAATCAACTGGGGCAAACCATGCTTGTCAAAATGATGATTTAAAGAAGGAAAAGTACTTTGGGAAAAATAAGTCTTATGCAACAGTAAGTCTTGATTAGGCTCTGAAATAGATAAACAGGAAGTAAAATTATTCAGGTCTCTTTTTTAGAGGAAGAAATGTTTCTTTGCACATCAGACAGGAAACCACCAGGGGGCCCAGTAGTGCATAGGCTTGGTGAGCTGATGTTCCTGGTTAATATGGCTACATCCTCCACCATGTGCTGAGGTGCCCAGATCCCTTAGCAACTGCAAATGTCAGTGTTTTTATTGTCTTCTTTTTTCTTGCTAAATGTTTGTGAAAATCAAAACAAAACAAATCCAACACATTTAAACAAAATTCTATATCTGAGATAGAAGACCTGAAGTCCAAAGGGTTGAATCTAGATCTTCACTTAATAATTATTACATACATGAGGACAATTCTGAAAACAAATCTGTTTTAGTTGCAGGTTCAACTTTGGTAGCATTTTTAGTGGGGGTAATTAGGGGGTAACTACATGACAACGAGTATGAGTGAATCACCAGGAACTTGTGAATTTTGTTGCTGATTATCTATCTGGGTTTGATACAAGTCCCAGAAATCCCCATGTAGATGACCCTGTCCTCCATGTACCTCCGAGGCCCACGTTTAATGTTTCTGTGTGTCATTCCCCCAGTTTCCATAGGCTTTTGCTTTTAACTACCCACACCTCTCCAGAGGACTGCCCTTGTGTTCCTGGAGTCACTTTATTTGCAAGGACAGGGCATCCCAGTGCCCCCGCTGTGGACCCAGAGCCAGCAACAGATGGCATGAGGGTCTGAAAGCCCAGCTGCCTTGCCTCAGCTTAGGTTGCCTTCAGAGGTAAAACTGGTCACCAGGGCACTTCAGTGACATCTGGCTGAGACTAGAGCTATGCTAAAATCGTACCCTAACTTGGCTTCTTCCCTTTCCCAGTCCTACTCTCCTAACCCCTTAATGGTTTCTCCTAGAAGCACTTCCTTAATAAATTACTTGTATACAAATCCTCATCTCAGGCCTACTTCTAGGAAACCTGACCCAAGACACAGCTGAAGTAGTTTAAGAAGAAAGGGATTTAATACAGGGAGCTAAGTGCTTTCAAAATCATTGAAAGGGAGCAGAAATCAGAAGTCATCAGTAAGTTTAAGAATATATTACCATAGTCATAATCCAAGGGAAGCTGCCACTACCAGAGGCATGACTACCTCTCAGCAGCCAAAGCTGCTAACTGGACTTGAGAGTATTGTGCCTGGCTGTTGTCACGTAGATGCCATGTCTTTAAGACTGTGCATCCAGTTGGAACTACCTAAAATCTAGAGCAATTTGAGTCTGACTCAACTCCAACTTCCAACTCATGTTACTGAAGCTAACTTGCGGAGCCTGTTTTAAATATAGAACCTAGCTGCAAGGGAGTCTGGGAAATGTAGTTTTTACTTCCCAGTGTCAGCAGTGCCAGAAGACACCCCAGAAGTAAGTAGAAACAGAAGCTGGTGGCTAATGGATCCTAATCACCACTCTAGGGGTGACAGGAAATGAATCGACATGCATTAACTTCAGGGACCTTGTGCATAGCAAGGGATGTGGACATGTGTCTGCTGCTCTTTATCCCCACTGTACCCCAGGGCTGGCTAGTTGGTACTCATCTTTAGTGTCTGCTTTAGATCAGTGTTTTTCAAACTGTAGGTTATCACTAAGTAAAGGATCATTCTTAGCAAGTGGAAAAAAGTATAGAATTAAATGAAATAGAACATGAAAATTGTATTGTTTCATGGATGTCGGGGTTGGTTTTGTGTGAATATGTATGTGTGAGTTGGGTTGCACTCTAGATGGTATTTCTTAGTGTAGGTCATGGTCAAAAGGCTTGAAAAACAGTCCCTTAAGTGTAACTCCCTCAATTCCCTGGTATTTAAAGTCTGGGTGTGGTACCTCCTGTGTATTGCAGAGAACTGTGATTCACTCATTACAGTTCTTACTGCACACGCGCACACACACACACACGCACACACACACACATTCAATGCCTGTGCTCCTCATTAGACTCCAGCTCCCAGAGGAGAGGTCAGATACTGTGTTGTCTTGTTTTCTTTTACTTTGGCATGAGGTCTGTGACACAGCAGCTTTTTACACGTCTGTTGAATGAATAAAGGGGAAAGGGATTGTTATGGACTCTTCCATCCCTTAGTTACTCCTAGGATTAATAAGAAGATTTAAGACTCATAGTAGACTTTGAAGATGTGCATACACTAGGAATAATATTAATAACAGGAGAATTGAAGCAAAGCAAAAGATATCCCAGCACAGATCAACCAGTACTGTAGAGCAGGAGCGTCATGGTTCCTCTCCACAGAGGAAAAACTCTGACCAGATCAGCATAGAGAGTCCTCCTCTAGCCTCACTGAAAGGCTAGTCACCAGCTCTTTAGTGCAGGCAAATTGGAAGCATGTGGAAAACACATTCCAGTTGGGTGTGTGTAATTCATTGACTAGAGTTCTCATCTGAGTGTGGGTTCTGTGATTCTCAAAAAGTCTTTATGTATCCCTAGTAAGCCTTGAATTAATGATCCCTTAATGGTGAGATATGTAGATCCCTGTGCTAGGTGTACCTGCCTGACCACAGAGTGAAGAATCTTGTGAGTCAAGCCAGTAAACAGTCCCTTACTCCTTGGAGGAGCCTGCTGGAGGGCTGGTCTGTGCAGCTGCTGTGTTATGTAAGTGAAATGGGCTGATGGTGAGTTGGGTCATAGTATAACAATGTAGTAAAAATAATAAATGAATAAAGCCGGCCTATAGCAAATGCTCCTTCTGTGCCAGGGACTGTGTTAAGAACGCTATGTCAGGTCATTCTTAGAGCTCTTGGAGGGCTTAGCCATTTTACAGATCAGGGAACCCAGCCTCAGAGGGAGTAACTAACTTGCTCAAGGTGGCGGAGCAGGGGCGTGGCAGTGAGGACTCAAACCCAGATCCGTCTCACTCCTGTGCCCTTGCTCTCACCACTCTGGCAAAGCAAGTGATACCTAATTGTCTGATCCTTTTTCTAGCCCTTAATTACTGCTTTCATTTTCTTTGTGGCCTGAGATTTATTTTAATTTTTCCTGTGGTGGATGGCCCATGACATAAGATTCCACATTCATATACTATAATTGCAAAAAAGGCTTATGTGGATGGCCAAGAAAAACTTCCCCTTCAGATTGTAATCACTTGAAAATGCTTGCTTTTCCTGTCTAAGCTTCCATTTACGGTTGGAATGCATGAGCATTCCTAGTTATTCTGCTTGTTCACTTATCTAAAAACAAATTTGTTGAGTGCTTACTATGTGTCAGGCAGAACTCTAGACTTTGGAGATACTGACAAAGTCCCTGCTCTGACAAAGTTTACATTGCCACATAGACATGATCTTACTGGAGGAGACAGACAAATTTAAATTTGATGTGTATAATATAAAAAGTGGTAGGGGAGGGGCCATACAGGGGCAGGGGATTACAAGATACAAACTCTTCTGTATAAAATAAGCTACAAGGACATGTTGTACAATACAGGGAATATAGCCCATATTTTATAATAACTAAAATTGAGTATAACCTTTAAAAATTGCGAATCACTATGTTGTACACCTGTAACTTATACAATATACATCAACTATACGTCAAAAACAAAGTGATAATAAGTACTAATAAAATCAGTATTGGAAGTGGGGAGAGTACAGCTCAGTGGTAGAGCACATGCTTAGCATGCATGAGGTCCTGGGCTCGATCTCCAGTACCCCCCATTATAAATAAATAAATAAAGATCTAATTACTCCCACCTCCAAAAACAGTACTGGGAGATAGTGGCAGCTGTGTATGTGTGTGACTGTGTAATGTATTTTTTTCTAGAGTCGTCAGGGGAGAGGCTTTTATGATAAGATGACACTTGAGCAGGGACATGAAAAAAATGAGAGGGAGAGTCCTGTGGATATGGGAGGTAGCACTTTCCAGGCAGAGGACCAGCAGGTGTAAAGGCCCTGGAGTAGAAGTACATTTGGCTAGTTTGAAAAACAGCAAGGAGGTGGCTTTCGCTGCACTTAAGTGAGGTGGAAATGGGACAGATAAAGATAAGATGATATTTGGTCTTATGGGCTCTCACAGGGACTTTGGCTTTACTCAGAGTGAGACATTATACATTTATCAGGAGAGTGATATGATCTGAGTTACTTCTGTTCAGCAGGATCACTCCTGTTGCTGGGTGAAGGCTAATAAAGGAAGGCAACCATGGAGGCTGGAAGCCAGACAAAAGAGGAGGCTATGGGAGTACCCCGGGTGTGACAGGACTGGACTTGTGTGGCAGTGATGGAGCTGGAGAAAAGAGGTGGGAACCCGGATATAATCTGAAGATAAACTTATAGGATGTAGAGTTCAGGTGAGTGGACAGAGCTGGAGCTTTATCAGGGGAGTTGTTAGCATAGAGGTGGGACTGAATGAGACATCTGAAGAGGGAAGGTAGGTAGAGGGAACAAGAGGTTCCAGGACTAAACTCTGGGACCCCACAGTGTTCAGAGGTCAGGAAGGTAAGGAGGAGCCAGCCAGAACGACTGAGAAGGAGTAGGCAGTGACGGACAAGGAAACCCAGAAAGTGTGGCGTTCTGGCCAGAACCAAGTTCAGTGTTGCGTGGAGTGAGGGATCAGATGCTGCTGAGATTGAGTACTGGTGATGTATTAAAGTCATTTATTTTTCTTATTCTTCATTGTTCCAAAAGATAGCTGTTTGTTTATTACCATTTTAATTAATGGTAATGCCGATGCACTGGGTGACTGTGTGGTATGGGTAAGTGAAGGGAAGGACAGCGGTGTCGTAAGGGACAGGCGGAGGAGGTGGGGTCCTCTGCTATGAGGTGCCTGCACTGCATTGGAAGTGGAAGAGTGTTATTTGAAGGTGGACTGAAAGTAATCATAAATGTGTATTGCAAACTCTGGGCCAAACATTCATATTTCTTTTAAAAGAAGTAGAATTGAGAAGAGAGAAAATGGAATTGTATAAAATGTTCAATTAATACCTGGGAAGGCAAAAAAAAAAGAAGCAAAAAAGAAACAAAGAAATACAATGAACAGAAAACAGTTACAAACATGTAAGTTTGCTTTACACGTCTTTGGGTAAAGTGAAAGGTCTAGGACTTGGACGTACCATTGCCAGTTTTAAGGGACTTTTTCTTTAATCCAGCTCTCAGTTCCAGACAGGTCAGGTGTGAGGGCACCAGCTGCATTTGTGGGACATGGGGCAGCAGTGCCCTCAGGTTTGGGTTCTCTTGCCTATTCCTGGGCTGCTTTTGCCTTTGCCGCCTCCTTTGTGCAACTGGCTGGAATGGCACCCAGGGAATCTTGGACCAGGGCAAAACCCTGGACCAATCTTGGGGAACAGTTGTTTCTGCCAAAAGGAGCCTTGCTCATTTGCCTTCCCCATAGAGCTCTCAGGAAAGATGTCTCACTGAGAGTTTTCTGCTACGCTAATGTAGGTAGGAATGACAATTATTTCCCCCAAAACCCTTGGGGAAATAATCATACAACTTAAATCCTGGAATTCCATGACACCATCAACTCATGAGAACAATAAGCAGGTTCTGGCTCTCCACGCCCCACGCTGGAATAGTCTAATTTTCAGGTGCATTTGTCATATGTTAGTTTTGCCATAAGGCGTGTACCGTGAAGCTTCAAGACTCAATATTGATCTAATAAGTAGTCATTCGATGAATATACTCAGTTGACATAATGTTCAATTTGGGGATTCATGTGGAATAAGTCGAAGGGCTCTTGCCAGTTCAGGGGCTTCAGAAGGATGGCCATGTTTTTTCTCATCAAGCATATCCTTCCCACGATGCCTTCCCACCTCCTCTTCCCCTATTAAAATCCAATTTAATCTTTACTTTGATTGAAAAATTAAAATATGCTCATTTGGTCACATTAAAAAATGTGCAAGTGATTCACTGTTGTATTTAGTGGTCACTGAATTGAGTCCAGTCTATATTTTATATGGAATTAAGTTGATCACGATAAATGTGCTTTCTAGTACATTAGATGCCCAAGGATTACAACATTCCTGAGTGACCAAAGAGCCAGTTCTCACTATTCAGTTTTTCCTAGGGATTCCAAGAATATCTGTTAGAAAAAAAAAAAAAAGAACCTGCCTTTATTTTCCACACTCAACAAATACTGATCGGTTTATTTGCCTTCAGAGGCCTGTCAAATGTTTATCATTGTAAATTACCATTGCAAATGACTACAGCTTCAAGTTCCCAAGAGGACATTTAAAATATTTCCCATATTTTAATGTAGTCAAATGCTTTCATACAATTAGACCCACATTTCCTGAATTGGTGTTCCACGGGTGTTAATAGCTTGCGCAAAAGTTTTTCTCTGAAATATTTTTGAGGAATTGTACTAAAGTAATTTAAAAAAATTTTAATATACTATTTTACATAATGAATTTCTCAAAAGTTGTATGTTATTAAATACTTGGACAGTGTTTCATAGGACAGTTTTTAGAACTCCCTGCCCGAAGAATTTAGCAGTGAAAAGGAAGTTTTCTTTGTCATATTAATTTTTAGTAAACTTTTTCAAGGGAAACCATGATGATATTAAAACAGTTCAGGCAGGCTTCTCAAGAAACTCACACACAAAACTATCTTAGTAACCTTGTTTGTGTTTATTTTTGTGCATGAAGCAATCACTAATCAGGTAGAGACCAGGCTTGAAGATAAGATAAGGTATATGATACAGCCAATATTCTGGCTTAGTTGAAGAGATGTAGAAGATTCTTAGGACAGATCAAATACTTAGAGTAGGAAGCTGGAGGTGGGGGTGGAGGGAGATTCTTAATAAAGAACTTGGAAGTTGGAAATAGGTCAGGGGATTGGTGAAAGGAAGAAAAGAAATAACATCCCGAAAGTAATATAAAAGATCAGAGAACCTGGATCTGTTGACAGAACACCCAGAGATGAAGCAGTAGTGTCCACTTCTTGCTCCAGAGTGTTAAGGAGCCTTCTCAAGTGTTGGCAGCTTATGGAATCCTTTTATCCTCACCTGAGGAGGAAGAGACACATCCATGGCAGTTGATACTTATTCCTTGATGAGAAGAATAGAGGCGTCCAGAGAGAGCTCAGACGTGGTGAATAGAGAATAATGCATTTCTCCTGGTTATGTTTCCAAAACAAGATGTCTAGTACCAACCTGAGTAGCTGCCATGCACTTCTGCAGGTTAATGTAGAAGGAATTACCTTGCCTCGGGGAACACCGACTATCCAGTGGGTACACTCCTGAGAAGGAAGCTAAAGGGCATGTAACAGAAAATAATGAGCTTCGGAGTAAAAAAATCTGGGTCACAATATGGTCTGTCACTCACGAGTAGTGTGATTTAGAACAAGTTACTTAAGCTTCCTAAATCTGTGGATTTTATTTTTTTTTCCATTTCTAAAATGGGGATGGTGTCTGCTTATTCAGAATGTAGTAAGATGTCTAGAATAGAATTTTGCACATAGAAACCACTTATATGGATACATTTTAAAATTTCCAAATATCTTTTTTTAATTGAAGTACAGTCAGTTACAATGTGTCAATTTCTGGTGTACAGCACAATGTCCCAGTCATGCATATACATACATATATTTGTTTTCACATTCTTTTCCATTAAAAGATATTACAAAATATTGAATATAGTTCCCTGTGCTATACAGAAGATATTTGGTTTTTTAAAATCTATTTTTATATATAGTGGCTAACATTTGTAAATCTCAAACTTGCAAGTTTATCCCTTCCCACCCTCTTTCCCCCAGTAACTGTAAGTTTGTTTACTGTGTCTGTGAGTCTGTTTCTGTTTTGTAGATGAGCTCATTAGTGTTCTCTGTTTTTCTTTTTTTTAGATTTCATATGAGTAATATTATATGGTATTTTTCTTTCTCTTTGTGGCCTGTTTCACTTAGAATGACTATCTCCACTTCCATCCATGTTGCTGCAAATGGCATTAATTTTTCTTTTTCACGACTGAGTAGTATTCCATTGTATAAATATACCACAGCTTCTTTATCCAGTCATTTGTCAATGGACAATTAGGTTGCTTCCATGTCTTGGCTATTGTAAATAGTGCTGCTATGAACATCGGGGTGCATGTATCTTTTCAAATTAGAGTTCCCTCCAGATATAAACCTAGGACTGGGATTGATAGAGCATAGGGTAAGTCTATTTTTAGTTTTTTGAGGAACCTCCATACTGTTTTCCATAGTGACTGCACCAAATTACATTCTCACCAACAGTGTAGGAGTGTTCCCTTTTCTCCTCATCCTTTCCAGCACTTACCATTTATGGACTTTTGAATGATGGCCATTCTGACTGGTGGGAGGTGATACCTCATTGTAGTTTTGATTTGCATTTCTCTGATAATTAGTATAAAATCTTGAAATATCTTTAATTAAGCTTTGATTAAAATGAAAACAAGAGGCCCATAAGTTATTTCAAATAAGAAACTTTAGAGACTAAGAAGCAGCATGTTTTTTAAAAGAATCAAAACATGACATTTTGGAAAAGAGGAAACTATGGAGAGAGGTTTAAAATCTGTGATTGCCAAGGGTTGTGGGGCAGGGGATGAACAGGTGGAGCAAAGAGAATTTTTAGGGCATGAAAATTCTCTGTGTG